AGCGCAACGATTTGGCGTTCCCATACGGTGTACTGAGAAGTTTCCTGAGTAATAGAATCAGTCACGTGAGAAGGGCCGCACCCAGCAACGACTCTGACGGCAGCGAGCATAATTGTCGCGCAATTATCAGGCCCATATCCGACACGGACAAAGAAATGGCGGCGATTAGTGAGTCGAAAGCAAATTGTCAAGCCATCCCCGCACCATTTAAGATCCCAAGGGAGGCTGCAGCAGCGGATAATTATATTACGCACGCGGATGACCGCTATGAACTATAAATTTCGTGCAATCTGTGCATGTTTCACCCCTATCTGCTCATTGCTCAGAATATCCTACCGTTGCCTATGATTAAGGATTCTCGACGGAAGCCGAAAATAAAAATAAAAATAAAAGCTTCGTTCCAGTGATCGCATCTTCTTCTTCTGAACTGCTTCCTGAAACTCGCGTATTCTCTTCTATTGGGAATAAGAAACAGCAAAAAAGAGGGGCTAGTTGTAGTGTGTGTACAATAATCAACTGTTAAGGGTCATCAGGTCGTGAGGGGTAAGAAACCGCGATGAAATTGTAGAGGTATACGTGGACTAAGTGTCAGTGATGTCAACGTTCCTCGGGGAGTCAGCAACGAAAACTGGACAATTAAAGAGGATATGGGTTCAATTAATTTTGACGGACGTCTGGCCGTGACTGTACTTGATTGCGCAAGGCTCTGTACGCCGGCGCCAATTCGACACAGCGGTTGACTGAATTCCCGTCTGTGAACCAGGCTTCAATCAATTCTCCGCTCCTCCTGTCTCCGGCGTGGGCGAGTACTTTGACGGCTGCGAAGTTGCACTCATGGCCTGTTGCATAGGTGTGAGCAGCAATTTGTAATAATTCGTCGCTTCGTCGTAAGGCCAAATTGTGTTCATGTACGCGCGAGCCGAGCATGCGTTCAGTTTGGTCTGTGTAGTTACAAGGACAGCTTCATTCGTGAAGTCCAATTTTTTTAGCTTAAGATAACAGCATATTTGATGGGGGGGGGTGGCGTTTGAATGCTTTCTTGACAAAACCCTGTCCAAAAAAAGGTTCTGAACCATGGTCAGCTGGTACGGTATATGGCGGCAGGATAGACCAATAAGGCATCTTTACTCTTGGTCAGCACTTTTGGTGTCTGCAACAATTGTTCGTCACGAACCACTGCGCTGCATGGCACAGTGGGTGCAAGAGACTGCTTTGCATGTTAATTGGGACAAACCTGTATTGTAGGGCCGCCTCAATGTCTACTGTCCCCGCCCAACTGTGTACAGAAATTGGTGGTCAAACATTTACTTCTCGGTTAACGACCGTAAATGAGATTAAGGACAAACTACCAACCCAGACCCCATCTATATGCATATATTCATTTACCTGCTCCTGTGGGGCAGGATATATTGGTCGCACGAACCGGCGTTTGTCCAAAAGTGTACGAGAACACAGTCCAGCATGACTAGTGAAGAGCCAACTAAAGAGTATAAACAGTTCAATTCTAGCGCACCTGGTAGACTCAGACCATCGCGTGGATGCCGAAGAGGCCTTCCGAGTGATCTACAACGTGCTCTCAAGCTGTTACCACTAAAGCTATACTATAAAACCATGAATCAAACAGCTCATGGTTGACGCGGGAATTTCGACCTTATCCAACCTGAAGATGTGGCCGGGTTTAATTAAATGTGTCCTGAACTGGGGGTTAGCTTAATTTATTCTCCTCTTCTCTGATGCGTGCTTGGCCACTCGCGTATAGATCAGTCGCCCAGTTTCTCTGACACTACTGTTTGGGTACGGTGTCCTTGTGAGGCCCCTTAAGAGTTACTATAAAAGACTATGTGGCCTATAGCCTTCTTATATTAATAAACAGAAGTTACTCGAATACGTTCTTGGTCTGTAGGTATTCCTTTGGATCCTCTCTGCCCTTCCTCAAGCATTTTGCCTATATTTTCACTTCAGTAAAACAATTGAAACGTCTTCAACTTCTTCCATTTAGTGCACTGTTTCCCCACCCAAAAGGCCCTTGATTCAACCTACATAGTTATTGCCATTTTACCAAGAATTTACTAAGAAGCTTGGGTTGGGGTCCCTTTCTTTAGACAAGTTATCTAATTACACCGGGTGCCAGTGAACATCACTCACAGTGTGGTGGCGAGACATTTAGCTTTTACAAGACAAAAGATATGAAGATCCACATGAAATTGTCAGGGGACCAAGTGGTTGTGGACACTGCGCACTCGCCGTAGCAATTCACGTGCATTCATCGATTTCATCGGATCTGAAGCACATGCTTGATTGTTCTTATGCACTATAAGTAGAGGCATGAACCGACTGCAGCCATACTCGGCCGCCACCAACTAAAATGAACTCTCAAAAGCAGCAGCAGCAGCAGCAGACCAGCTATCCCACACAATGCGAGCAGGCAGTCAACGAGCTGATCGCTGCCTACAACGACGCTGAAATCGCCTACCTCACGGCTGCCGCCAA